TATTGCGCAGCCGTTTCAAAGAATGCGAGAAAGTTTATGCTGTGGTAGCACCATTAGTTCGTATTAACGTTCCACAAAACTTACATTCTGACTATACAACTCATAGTCATTTATTACATACAGGAGCAAGAATATTCCCATTTTTCGTTCTCATGAATCCACAAATGCAATTTTTTCTGGAAAAAAATCACCGTGCAGCATTATAGTCCTTCCTCTATACTATGTAAGTAGAATACGAGAAAGTAAAGAAATTGCTATCTTTAGTACCATGAAGTAGTAGTTGGAAATTGTGTTCAAACGTATATGATATAAAAGTAGTTTAGAAAGTATTTATTTATATGTTTCTATGTAACTAACTTTTCCAGTTTGGGCGACAACTAATCTGCAAAGAACAGTGGGTTTGGGGTTGGAAGGCGAAGTCTACCACAAATGCCTTAATATCATCTGTATCATCTTCCATTAGTTCATAACTCCTTGTTGACGTAAAGCCTCAAAACATATTGTTATTAAATATTAAATACGCTCGTTGAAAGCATTATTTATAATTCTACTTGTAAAAGAGATGAGCTAAGAATTCCAAAGCTTCCTTTCTTATATCACTTATGTTTTCTACAAGGTTTTTGTCGTTAAATGAATAGCTGAGAGCTAAAGAATGAATGATTGGCATATTCTTCTCGAATTGATATCTAATAACAAACGTAAATGTCCAGTTGTATTGTCCATCATGTTCGAAAGTCACTGTAGTAAAGAATGACTAAGAGTGTCTGTGGTTTGCTTCGTGAACAGAACACGTTTGTCGCTTTCCCTCCTCCACTTTGTCTTGCACGTCGCTGGAGCTTTTCCCGGATCTTCTGGTTCCGTATGACCACTTCTCTCCTCATGGTCGCAAACTGTGCCGCAAAGCAAATTCATATTGCAACGAAATGGAAAAATAAAACAAATCTTTTCGAATACTAGAACTTAATGAGTAAGGAAAACATTTATAACTTTTAGCAATTTGAAATTCAAGCGTTAAAGTTTTCCAGAATATCTGAGTGGAAATACATATAACTGTTTTATACTTTTAATCCGTTTATTTTTAAATCCCTTAATATCTAAATTCAGTTAAACGTTGAATCTTGAAGTAAATTTACTCTCATTAATGAACACAGAGAATGCTCGTTTTTGGAGAACTTGAAATAAATTTTGAATGAATTTTTCTTGCAGATTTTCTCTTTATTGCACTTTTTGATTCACAACTAAAGTCATGTATCAAAGGCCAAATGATATAAGCTTTAGGCTGTTTCTAAGTGTCGGAATTTGCAAATATCGAATTTAAATTGGACAAAACACACATTTTCGTCTAGTTTTCCCATTTATTTCTTCGAATTCTACCAAGAGTCGTTACACGATATAATGTTATTGACGCATTTGGTAATCTCTCTTATTCTGTGGCAATCCTGGCGATTTATGTCTAGAGGGAGAACCTGGCAAAGCTTACATATTGTCAACTCTTTGGTGTTCGCCGTTCAAAGTCTGTCGGAGTCAGAGTCGCTTCGTAGTGGCTGTCGGCAGAAGTGCTGACGCGAGTTCAAAATCTGCACTCGGAGTCATATAGGTTGTGATGAGCCATCACAAACAGTTAATAGAACCAGCAAAGCTTTTAGCTGGCACAAGGGAAGTTGCCTGCACCTGCATCGGAGCGCCTATATTTGATTGTCACGAAGGTGTTTCATAAGGGAGGTTCTTTCGATGTTATGAACGACTCACAAGATAGGAGGGAACACAATGATAGTGAAGAACAAAAAAAATCAAAACTATTCGCCCCAGGGCGAAGTTATATGCATTGCACAGTGTCTGAAAAGTATAAAAATTTGAAAAAGAAGCTATAATGTTTATATAAGTGTAACAGTTAAACATTTTCTGCGGAGTTCAAACAATTTTTAGGCAATACAAATAATACAAACTACATCCAGAATTTCTTTCAAATACTAATCACACCACATCTGCAGTATGTTGAAAAAAGCATTGAAGCAGGAAATTACCATTTTATTATCGATTCTATTTTTTACCTTGTTTGGTGCTTTGTATCAATGCTTGCAACTTTATCAACGGTTATTGTCTTTTGAACATACGTCGAACAGTAATTGGAGGAAGGAGAGGGGAAACGCAAATTATTGTTAATCTTTCTCTGCTTTTCAAAAAATAATTATAGTTCTATTCACCCTCATGTCTTAAATAGGGCTAACTAGAAACTCATTTTGTTATTACTCCACAATTTCAATATTTGACAACACGGTTGTTTTCCAACGATAAACCATCTTGCAAATATAAAAGAGACAATATCGGAGGCGGTAATTTCATTCCCTTCTTTATATATTGCATTCCCTCATATATATATATATATATATAATATATATATATATATATATATTATATATTAATATATATATATATATGAAGTGTATAGCGGGTTGCTGTACCTCTAGGCGCCAGCATATTCCTCCCTCATCACTAGGGCGCGGAAGTTTGGCAAAATGTCTTTTTGATATTCATACTATTTTTTGACTTTTAACAGTAGAAATAACTAAATTACACTTCTGGATTTGTAGCAGATTTTCATTTTGCCTATTTTAGCTTCTGGTGCCTAAATTTGCCAATCTGTCTTTTTGCTTTTTATGCCTTCTCCCTCATTATTTTGATTTTTTCCTCCTGCCACCATTCGCGAACTTGAATTCGACAGGCTTTGTTTGTTCACGAGGAAACCCATCTTCTTTTTTGACTATGTTCTTCGATCCTTTTCGAGAACAGCTCTCTGTCCATGATTCATACTTCTCAGTGTTGGCGTTTACACAAGTGCAAAGAACCAAAAATATAATTTGGTTTTCACTGGTGCTATTTCAAGATTCAAAAGGTAGTCCACAATAGCACTTCTAAGATAGCGTCACGAGTAAAACAAATTCATAGTCATCATACAAGATGGTCATGTGGACTTAGATTACAAAGAAAATATCGTTTCCTTACACTTTAAATGCTACTGCAGATTTTAGAGTTAGAATGAAAATGTGAAATATTTAAATTATTGTTTCATATCCATTCCTTTTAAATGTGATTTTTCATTTTCCTGTCTATTTTAGGTAAAATAAAAGCCTGAACTTCCAGACTTTACTCATCACCTTTAACGGACTTTGAATTGTCCTTAAGCAGACTACGGGGTTCATAGACCTTCTGAATAGTACTCCCAACGGTATCGTTAATTATTTCGAAACTTCTTAAAAAAGTCCAACTGTCGGGTATGTTACAGGGTTCGTGGAGGAGTTGTGAAGCTGTCGTAGAAAAAAATGATTTAGTTCTTAGCTCCCCTTTTCTACCGCTTTGACCTCCGCGAAGTATTCGACATTCAGTCAAAATCAGAAAGATCCAGAAGAGATTTTTGCCTCTAATACAGGGCTCCTTAAGTGGGAAACTTCCTTGACATATCTTGGCCCATCGTTTTCCTTAGAACCACCGGTGTGGTTCGCTGTTTGTTAAGTCGGTGGGACGAGAGGGGAGGCGCTCGTGTGATATCGGCTCTAGTTTAGTGAAAGGCACGCGTGTCACTGCAGCGGACCTCCTGTGGCCAAAATTATTGAAGTTTCGGCAGTCCTGCTCTAAAGCGTTCCCTTCATCTACAATAACTTGCTTTTCAGAAAGTAACCTGAATCATGAGCATAAAATTTGCTGTTAACAAACTGTGCGGAATGCAACTTTCAAAGCAGCCATTTGTTAAAATTTCCTTCTACCTTGAACTAAACAACACTACTGTTCCCAGTAGCAACATTGTCAATTCCTAAGAAATGCATTTAGTATAAATATTGTACGAGAACTGTTAGTGCTAGTGTCTATATATGGGCTGAACACTTTCTTCAGATGCAAATTATTTTATCCATTTAGGAGCGCTGCGACACCTCCGGCGACCGACCCTCCACCTCACTCTTCATTTACAATATCTTGTCTCCTATGCTAGGTTGCTGTTACCCAGTTATTACATTTAGTTCCCTTTTTTCTACGAGTTTCTATTTTTTGCCACTAGTTTTTGCGCAACTTCTGATTTCTAAGAAATAAATATCTACGGATTGTTTATGTCCGGTTTAATTGTATCGCTAAAATATTGAAATGACCTTCGCACCGTACATTGTATTGGGTCCTTTTATTTCATATTCATTGTTACCCATTTGGATCACTAATTACCTACGTTGGAAATAAATTTTGTACGGTAAATGATATGACTTTGTTACTCCTTAACAGGAGTCTTTAATATTTCAAATAATTCACAAAAAACTGGAAATAAATTACGAGATTCTAATTCGATTCCTTTCTAGTGACGAAGCCTTGGAATTATTTGAAGTACTAAATATTCCTGAGAGTCAGTCACAAGTTCCCACCCAATTAGTCATTTACTATGTAGAACACATTTTTATCGTAATTGGAAATCCAAATTCGTGTCACAGTAGTGTCAATGAGTATACGGGGGAAAATGTTTTGGCTTTTATGCATACAGCATGAGGGTTCTGTGACAAAGTGAACAGCTACTGTGCCTAAGGCGAACGAGGGCGTGGGAGAGAGTTGATAATAAATAAACGTTATCAGTAGATTTTTGTAGCAATCATATTCTAAATAAAAGTAAAGATCAAATGTGGTATGTTAGCATAACTGAAAATATAAAACATCGCGTTCTAAATAAAATAATTCTATTAAAATATATTAATCGTCGATTTTGTAAGATCTTTTATTTAACTCAAAAAGGGAGTATTTAATTCAAAAACTTCTCCCCATATCACGTCACACACAGTTTTGAACTGTTTTTGACGTAATTAAATAAAAATAAATAAATAGAGAAGTCAAAATGGAACATTAATCTCTGGTGGCTTTGCCACTCTACGAGTTGTTAAAAAGAGGAGGGAGGTAGAAAAAGCAAATTTTGTGAACGTGTTTTTTAACGCCCCCACCAATGCAATCGTTGCGCTGCGCAATGTACTCACGGCACTTCGATGAGCTCGCAATTGAGCAGGATTTGCCTGGGGCCCAGCTCCACCACGGCGACGGTCTGGTCGTGCACGTACACCTGCCGGCTGGAGTCGGGGTCGACGAGCAGCCCCGTGTAGGGCTTGTACCTGAGGCGGTCTCGGAAGAACGCGCCCCTCTGCGCCTGCGCCACCGCGGGCGTCGCCGCACCAGCCAGCACCAGCAGCACCAGCGCCGTCGCCACCCAGGGCGCCGCTCCGCCCACGTCCACCTGCGCATCAACACACTTTGCGTTATAGCGAGAAACAGAATCCCTCGATTGAGTGATTGATTATTTGTGCAATCGCAGGTATCCGCGCCAAGTGTCATGTGAAGGTTTTCGGTTGTCCGTATGTTAGCCGAGAGGTTTGATTATTTTGTTTCCGGACGCGTCATTTCTGCAGGCAGTAGTTCAGTACGTGCTATATCGCGGAAGATGGCGGTGTTCCTTCTTCGTTGGAAAGTGAAACACCGCGTCGATTTATTGATTGATGTTTCCGGGAAAGCTAACTACTGTGATCATTAGCACGAATAATGTAGAGAATGTTTATGCCTGGAAGTGGCGATGTTCATTCCCTGCTGGCTGGTAAGATCCGGTGCCAATCTACACGTTGACTTGCGGGGGATTCCCTCTCTAGGTATCTCTCCCAGCCGGGACAAGCTCTAAGCTCCTGACTGGCCTCCCGACATGTGCGTCAGTGTTGTGTATGGAAGTGTGTTTGCATGGGAAGCGCAACCCAAGTATAAGGAAGAAAAAAATCATGCGCGGTCCGTGACTCATTTGTTAGCAACCATATTCATCGTAGAAACTAGGAAAACTACCGATCAGAGCAGTCGACGCTCAAATTCTCCTTCAGGAAGCGGCTGAAAAAATCCCAGCAATACAGCTAATGTCGAAAATCCGCGAAGGACTCGAATCGAAGGACCTCCTGGTCAGAGTTGCAGCAAGGACAAAGGCAACGCTGGCTCTGAGCTAAACTCAACTGATTGGGTGGCGACCGACACGTCTGCTTACGGAGGTTACCTCCTTGAAGTATCACCGCCAACGGGATCAATCAATCCTCTCAAATAATTTCTTTCTGTTCCGTTAGTGTTCGTTATAGAGGGGTTTCTCTGCATTGCCATCAATGTTGAAATATTGGGTTCAAACATTTTGTTTCTCGGATCATCAATATAGTTCTCCCTGGTTAATTCACAAATTATACTACTATTAGATATATTGACGAAAAAGTTACATATAATGCGTTTCCTTTGATAATCCTTTATTACAAGGAAATGTTCAAAGCTTAACGACTTGTGTAAGATCTCAAACTACAAAAGTGCGTGCGATACAGTATGAGAAACTGTTATTTTTAAGTTGAATGATTGTTTATGCTGGATCTAATAGTTACAGCGTTGTTGAATGTGACCTTCCAATAATAAACATATACGAGGAGAAAAAATTTCTAATAATACAAAACGAAAACGAGTATGAGGAAACTTCACGAAACGTTATAGTACTAGAAACTGTTAAATCATAACTATCCTGCATGTATTGAATTTGTTGTGTGTTTTAAAATGACAATCAATGTTCTGATCAATGTTTTTTCTAAAATAACGGTTGCAAGGATATTTGGGAAGGACGTAATCGTCCCATGATGTTCCATGTTTGGAATTCGGTCACAAAATTGTTTTGAGTATAAACGTTCTATAATCAAGCTTTAAACGGAAACTATAGAACAATAAAAAGTTAGTGCAAGGATACTGCCCTGCGGATGTTCGAGGCGAAATGAAAACACGACCGGACGTGGCGAAACTGAACGGAAACAAGATGGGACATGATAAAAGGACAAAAGTGACAGTGACGGAGGCGGAATCACGAAACACAAGGGGACAAAGAGAAATTTGTCAGGTAAGTGAAGAACTGGTGGAATGCAATGGAAAGAACGGCGGGGATTTACCTATTTAAAATCCGTAACAACTCAGAATCTCAGGAAGAACATCTACAATATCTGGATATGCGCATAAAGACTTTTCGTAATTTTTATATAGACTTTAAGATGATCAAATAATTACGGAAGCTCAGCGATATTCTCTTATTGATATTTACTATTTAGTGCTGCTTCCAAATAAATTAGATCTTCCAAATTGTGTCCAATGTCCACCAGACATTTCTAAATTCTAGGTAGTTAATTTCCCCTTGTAAGTGATACCATTCAGTCTTATGCTCCATGGTCGCTAATACGTGCGGATAAATTGACTCAACATTTTGCATCTAATTGTATGTAAATTTTATTAAGTTAAAAAATTCTTTAAGTGAATTAAAACGTTTAGAAAATTAAATGAACCGAACAGCTAGCTTTGAAGAAATCATTTTAACGTGTTTCACATATTAAGACAACCGACTCTGAATTTGATTAAAAAAAATGAATTATAAGATACAAATTACATTGCTGAATTTCGATACATCGAAAATATATGAATTTTCTACATCAAAAGTGAGCTTTACTATTTAGTCTTGTGGTTTATACAAAAATGTTTTTTCTTATCTATTGTGTGATTAATGTGCTAGTTTGGAGTTAAAAGAATAAATATGATAAACTGGAAAATTTCAAGTTCCGTCAATATTGACACGTGTGGGCAGAAGTACTTAATTGCCAGGGGTTTGTAAGGAAAATTAATGTCTAGAGGTAAGTCCCAAGGTTTAACTAGCTTAAGGTGAGTGTTGAATATTGAGTGAAATTTAGACTACGAAACGTACGTAAACGTACGAAACGACTAAGTAAAAGCATTCAAAATTGTTGGCGTAAAAACGCGATATAGCTGCTGGAAATATTTTGTACAAATAGAGGGCTTTGACATGTTTCTAACACAACGCAGCATCTAGTGACATTTAAATGAAAATACTAAGACTCGCACAGAAAATGGGACGGCCCCATGATGGGACATTAAAATGGCATCCGTCGAGTATTGTCGTTTCGTCAAATACGTTCGAAATACAACAAATATAATTTTGATTCGTGCCAGTACAATGAACAAATCAGGTGGTGCACATTACATCCGCCACACACATTACTCTGCCGCTCACGTTACTACCGTGCGTAACTTTCGAGCATCCGAAGGCGCCTTGCAGCTTAGCTCTTCTGGGTACCCTCATTCTGCAGCACGGCTGAGAGGAAACGTGCAGAATCTCTCAATCTGCGTAAAATGAAAATGCATGTTTGATATTCGGTGCAATTTCGTCGCATGGGTTTCTGCGATTCTGTCCGTTAATAAACGCTTAGCAGTTTTATAATGTTCACTCATTCACAGTATCTGTTCTGTATGACGTAAGACACAGTGCTGGGTCTGAGTGACGCAACCAACAATTCAGGGCTTGACCGTCTAAGTTGGATTCTAACATGACGCTTTTTAAAAAATGATTCACAAATTTGATAGTTCTAACGAGTGAATATTTAATATTTCATAAGTTGAATATTTAATTTTCATTGTTGATAGCGAACATCTCTGAAAACATCGACCTCTATTGTATTAGCCAGAAGATCTTCCCATGTTAATATAAACATTTAATATTACGTTATTGTAGTTTGACATTCTAGAGAATAGAGGCAACACAGACGAATTGCTATGGTAACAGATATAATAATAATAATAATAATAATAATAATAATAATAATAATAATAATAATAATAATAATAATAAAAGCCGCGTACAATGAACGCATACAAGCCGTATACCATAGTTCGCTTAGGTAGAAAAGCAAATCCCCTGGCAGATAATAGAAAATATATTAATGGGGGGGGGCGTAGTGGTGACGAGGAGAGAATCAGGCTCTTTTTGCGACGAGCCAGCGTGCCGAAACAACACTACCTAACATACATACTACTGTAATCTAGGTGGTGTTGGCCGAACGTATCGTATGTGGATATTCTCTAGTATTCGCGCCAGATAGGGAAATGTCAGACATGGCATGGCCAATGAGTAATGATTTAATATCAAGTTTAGGAGGTCAGTAAGAACTATTAATTCCTATTTTTCGTTAAATTAGCGTTAAATATTTTATTCATAATGTAAGGAAGTCGTGCGATGAGGCACCCACATATTGTGGAATATTAGGAAAGTTTGTTACATGGACAGATCATTCAAATATTATTAGATGGACATAATTAAGATTTAATTAGTATCAGAAATTATTACTATTCCCCGGATAGGAAGTTTAGATAATATCAGTGAAGTAGGAGATAGAACACTACGGTAGAAGAGATATGACATCACGGGATTCTGAATCGTTTCTACGACAGGGTTCACCGGAGAAGGCTTCAAGTGCGCACGAAGATGATATGAAAGCTATTAGAGAATTTAATTGCAAATGAACAACGACTAGTCATTATCAAAGTTAGTACTCACTTAAGCAAGTTCGTACTATTAACCAGTTATCATTCAAATGATTGAATAAATATTATATTTATTTATTGAGAAAAAGGTTGATTAATTAACAGTAATTTGCAATCAATCAACAATTCTTTCAGTCAAGTAAATTTCAGAGAAATTGCTTATCCGTATAGACCTGTCTGCATACGACAAAGTAAATATTAACCAGTTGTATGTCGACCCCAGGTGTCGAAATAGATATTAGTACTAAATATTATGAATGGCCGGCATTACGATAATTCTGGTACATATAAATAAAAGTTTATATGTTATTAAACAGATACATGAGTAAAGCAGGGCAACAAAAATAGGAAAAATAATATATTTTTCTCTTACATCAGAACTAAAATATGAAGGTTATGATTGATATCATTCATGTTGTGCATGCTAGCCGATTGAATTAAATAATTACAGATTGGAGAGATATTAAGGATCGTTTCACTATGAATCTAATCTCTGTATTTAGCAAGCTGAAGTAACCCGACATTGCTCAAATAGCCATTTACCCTAATCGTATCTTAGATAAGAAAAGGAATGGATTCTATCTTTAGTGTAAAATGGAAGTACAGTAGAATCCTGGTAAACCGAACTAATTGGAGGTGTGGTCTGTTTGTATTATCCGAAAAAATGTATCATTCATGTACAAATACATTTATAGGATTACCAGACAATGCATCATAGCGTGCGATGTGAAGAAATGGCAATGTAGCGTGGTGATCGTATCATCACATCGCATCATCAAGTAGATTCAGTTCCTTATGGCAAAATAAGATTACCAATTTTGCAAGTTGCTTTAAGTGAAAAATGTTTGCTCCATAAACACGTGACATACACCGAAGTGCAATAAACGTTTCATTTCGACAACTTGTGTTTCAATAATTATTCATTGTTCAGTACTACACTAAGTCCTTTATTTACACTACAAAGAAGATTTTATTTATTTTGTTTGTTTTTTCTCCACCCCGATTTTTTTTCGGATTATCCCAAATTTCGAATTAGCGAGGTTCTACTGTAATTTTACTTACACCTCCAATCCGCTCTCCACTTCACCTGCCCCTGCCCGTTTCGGCACTCCCACGCACCTCGCCCTTCCTCGCCTGGCCCCGCCTCGACCATCCTCTACATGCACCATTGCCCCGCAAACTCTAAATGCATTGCGGAATCGGGTTGAATGAAACCATATTTTATAAATGTATTCGTAGGCTTCCGCGGCCAGAGTCATTGGATACTCGGCTATCCGGTTGGGCTCAATCGACTGAGACGCGGCTCAACCCGGACAGCCAAGTAACCATATTTCATTAAGATGACAAATTCGCCTGTAACATTTCAAATTGTGTGAATGCTGTATTTTTTTTCTTTGCAGCTCGAAGATATTCTCTGTGAATTCGGTTGAAATTTCTCCGTGCTTCGAAAATAAAGCTGGAACACATTCATCGATCTTTATACATGAATGTTCTGAGTGTTTTGATTACGAATTAATTGTGGATGTCTATTTATGCTATGCTATCTTCATAAAGATCAAGATCCGCTCTTTATTAACTCTTTTCAACCGATTTAACTCGTGGAAGAAAGATATAGAATGTTTTCTAATGTAATGTTTTTTAACAACCAATAATGAAACAATGTGTGAGTACATGTGATGAGAACGCCGTAATAATGCTAAAGCAAATTACTTTAAAAGATTAGAACTTCTACCTACTAAATTTATTCAGTTTCATGTCGTTTAAATAATAATCTCTGAACACTTAATGCTTTTTAATACAACACATTTTAGAGTCATTAGACAAGGTAAAGTGTGATCATAAACAATAAAATATCTCGAAATGTCTAGTTCATTAGCGCCAAGAAGAAAATTATCTGAAAATTAATTTAAGGGAAACCACTTGGTGCAGTCATTGCCCCAGATATTGGACTGTTATGGAGCCAGCCAACCAGAGGCCATTCATAAGAAAACGTAAATAGCATCGGGCGCCTAGGTCCAAGACAGGATTCGCAACAGAGATCTTTACAACGGAACGGGCCCACGCGCAGCCTTCACCGCTCGACCCGGATATGCAATCAAGTTGCATGAGTCACCGAACTTTGTTTTTAAAATACTATGAACACATTCCAGTTTTGGATGACAATGATCGTTCTTGTACGTGAAGTACGATATAAGTAAAGTAAATTATTCAAGACTTACTTTGCGTTACAGTAAAATGTATTACTATTTATCTGTAAGTTCGTTGTGCTCACTAGCAAGTTTGTTATAATATTAACTTATTGCTCAATAATCGTACTAAGATCTGTGACATTCATTCCTCTTTTTTTACTCTCCCAAGCGAAACCGTTATAATTGCAAACAATAAAAGCGAGATAGGTGTGCAATTGTGGAGTATCAGTCCGGACTTGGTAGGGCAATGACTCTGTAATTGTACTGCGTTTACCGTATGAGAGCTTATTCAAATTTGAATTTTATGTACACAGTTTTGTAACAAAAGTTTACTTTAGGTTTAATAATAGTTCGTGTTGAGAGATTGGAAATAAACGTTGTGCGAAGATATGCCTTAAATACAAACGGATGCAACTATCAAGAAATTTTAATAAAGTAAATATTAAATTAAGTTATTTTTAACATTTACACTGAAAGTAGGAACCTAAATTACTCAATTGTCATTAAAAACGTAAAATTAGAAACATGTTTCTAAATAAATATTAGATAATGTCACACAATACATTTTTTTGTTAGAATATATGATATTTTTGCATAGTTCCTTCCCAAGCCCATGTTACAATGTTGAAAAATCAATGTTTAGTCTGCAAGGAATCTGGTGTGAGATTTCGTCTATAAGTTATACCCAAACAGGTCATCAAACTCTCAGATAAATAACGCACGGCTGAGAATTCGCTATCGTTCTAGAAGATATAAAGCCGATTCCGCCATTTAACATGGCAGAGCTGTTATTGTTGACCTGGTCGTAAAAGTATTGCTCAGATCAACTCAGCAGTTTACAGTGCGATTTCTACAGGTGCTGGAAAGTTCAAGATCGTTGGAAGAGTTTATGGACTTTTTGGAAGAATTTATGGCCTCCCTTTGCAGCTGTCCGATTAAACATTATTTGACCTCATGCACAATGAATGAGGTAGCCAAATCATCGTTTTTGCCACCTCTATTCTCAGAGTTACAACCTAAAATTACATCTCTTATCGCAATGAACGTCAATATAATAAGACTTCAGTGAATATAAGTACTTATCATAAAAGACGGTAGAATGGCACGAGAGTCTAAACTTCTAAGATAGTAAAGTAATTACAGGCGTGACTTTTCAACTCACTGAAATGACAATTTTATGCCTCACACGATAATTATTTTATTACTAGACTGTTATTACTATATTCTGTTGACCTGTCGATACGAGGGTTGCCTTTTATATTTCAGAATTAGAGAACAAATAGAAATATTAATCATCAAATTTATTGTTTTTCAAAATATTCTCCATGTAGATCTCTATAATTTTGCATGCGTTTGAACCAATTGTCGAAGCACTTTTGCCACTCTGATTGAGGTATCTCCAAAACATGCATTCTGAATGCAGCAACCGCTTCTTCAGGTGTCGAATAACGTTTACCTCTCAGTTTGTTTTTTTTTACGTACGGGAATAAAAAGAAGTCATTCGGTACCAAGTCAGGACTATACGTCATCAAGTCTATGTTTTCGGTGCTAAAAATGCAGTTGTTTGAGCCGATGTGTGAGAGCTCGCATTGTGGTGGTGAAGAGTGATCCGTCTTCGGCATTTGGTTTTCCTGATTTCTTGGAAGACAGCTGGCAAACAAAACGTTGGGTACCGCTCAGAATTGACTGTTCTGCGTTGTTCTAGTGATATGGTTGCGACATGTCCAGTTTTTTCGAAAAAACAGGCGACTATCTGTTTGGAAGTGCTTCGTGCGCGTCAACTTTTGTTGGATTTTGCTCATCTTGAAACATCCATACAGTCCACTGCTGTTTACTTTCGGGCTCATACGCATAAATCCACGATTCATCACCTGTCACAATGTCATAGACGTGTTTCGAATCACCGCGATTGTATTTTTTGAGCATTTCTTTCGACCAATCGACACGAGCCTTTTTTTGAGCGATTGACAAATTGTGTGGGATCCAACGCGAACAAATTTTTTTGGCAGTCAAATGTTCATGCAATATTGAATGTGTGCTGGTCCCACTAATGCCTAAGGTTGTCTCAATCTCACGATAGGTCACATGACGATCTTTCAATATAAGTTCACGCACAGCATCAATGGTTTTCGGAACAACAACTGAGTTTGGACGACCTTCGCGAAATTCGTCTTGGAGTGAACTACGACCACGATTAAATTCACCATACCATCGATAAACACTGGTCCTTGATATAGCTTCATCGCCAAAAATTGAATTAAGTTCATCCAAACACTGTTACTGATTTAATCCACGTCGAAAGTTGTAAAAAATAATCGCACGAAAATGTTCACATGTTCAATAATTCTATTTTTGGGCCAAGATGAATATTTTAAGTTACTGTAAACAAACAAATAGCGTTCGTATGTCAAAACGTCCTGACTATGTATCTCAAAACATCCAACTTTACGATAGAGCTGTCAGTTGCCAGATTGCAACACGAGATTTGCCAAATCCCGAAACATAAAAGGCAACCAACGTTTTGAGAAGTCTTGTAAAGAAAATTAGTCTTTATTACGGATAGATAACTGACATTACTGAAGACAACTGCAGTTGTTATTTGTATATCAATTTCAGTTTAATAAAGTAATTGATATATGAAAAGTACATCCATTGCTTCCGTACTACCTCGCCAAGAATTGAGCCCTGTCCTTACCGGCTGCTCTCCTTCAATAGGCATGACTAGCGCCAAGAACCCTTCCACCCACCCCTACTGAAATAGATGTTGACCAAAGAGCGCACCCACCTGCAGCGGCCACGTGCGCGCGTCTGCCATGACGCTCGAGGTCAGCGCGTCTGCCGCCGCCCGCGCCGCCGCCTGCGCCGCCACCGACACCGTCGTGCTGGAGGAGCGCTCCGCCGGCGCCAGGGGACCGGCCGCCGTCGACGCTCGACGAGGACT